GTTTTAAATGTGTGCAACAAAATCATTCCCATTTTAAATTCTGCAGACAGTGTAGGGTCCCAGTGGTGGGTGCTGTGGAGTCTGCCCCTGCCCGAGGCTGCTCCCTGACCATTCCATTGCTGGTGAGCAGGGCTGGGGCAGTGCTGGTGAGGGCAGCTACTTCAGGGTCCTGCTGCCAGCAAAAGCCACATTTTGGCTCAGACACTGAACAGGCCTGGTGGCCCCATCCCGGAACTCCACCTTGTGCCCCAACACCCATGCAACAGCACAAACTCCTCCCCAGACCTGCCTAGTTCTCAACAGAGTTTTGGCAGATTATTGTCAACAGACCTGCCCTGCTCTTCCTGTTTGAGTGCTGTGGGACAGTGACTCTTTTTACCGAAGTCACTGTCCCTCCATGCCTTGTCACCCTCCCTCCACTCCTGGCTCCTCTCCTCCTGCGCAGCAATCCGCCCTTGCTGCTCCCTCACGTGCACCTTCCTCTGAAAGCTGACTTTGCACCTTGAGGATTTTACAGAGGTGTATTCATGAAGCGGTGTTGTTATGTCACATCATAGCCAAGGGCACAAAAAACATCCTAATGGCAAATAAAGGGCAATTTTTTTTGTGTATGGGAAGTTCTGTATCAGCAAAGCTCTTGTATAATAGAGCTTGTGAATGCTTTTTACCATCTGTAGTTGGCAAGGAGATTTTGTCCCATCCTGGCAAGTGATGACATGGCCTCAATAAAACATGACTTTGTCACCTCTTGGATGAATTACAGCAGTACAAAATAAGGGGATATGAAGTCATCTGCCATTATGGCTCCATTCATACCAGAATGAAGCAGGCCAGCCCTCAAGCAATCCAAGAAATTATCAAAGTGCTCTTGTTTCTTTCCTTATCTTTCAGGCAGTCAGTGAATTGGCCATTACACCCTGAAGAGTCTCCGAAGGACTGTAATTCAACATATTTGCTCCTTAACCACAGTCTGTTACCAGGTAACTTTCCTTTTCGCTAGAAAAGAAAGCTGTTTTTTTTGTTTAAAGGGTTGCAGTTCTTGGCTTTAGTACCAAATGTACATAGCACAGCAGACAGGAAAGGAACACATTTTAAATAAAAAATAAACAGCACAAATTTCTTTTTGGATTTGAAAGGAAGAAAGAGTCATAAACAATAAATGGCAGCTGAGTACCTCCCTAAAAAGTGCACAGTAAGAGGGTTATGAGGGAGATGGAAAAGGTGCTCAACAGAACAGAATGAAATGGATCTGGTAGTGGATCTCTAAGAATTAGAGGGAGTTTTATCCCTGGTGTTAAGGGAGCAACATTGATTCCAATTATAGAGCACTTCTCAGAACAGTATCTTTGTTTTCACATTGAGAATTGTGTGAAATTCATTGTTAATCTAGCTCTCATCTTCTCAAGATATGTATCACAAGTTCTGTAGCTACAGGCTCCTTGATCTTTGAGTGCAATTTATGTTTAAGACTTTATTGCTACTGCTAAATCACAGGATCCAAGAAGCAGTTGAATTTACAGCATCTCTGGAAAACCCAGTGAAAACAAATACAGACTTTAGCCTTATTCAGCATACATTTGTCCTATGTTTTTGTGGATCACCTCTAATGTCACACTCCTTTTTGGAGTAGCACCATGGACAAGCTAAACATCATACCAAAACTAATTGTCTATGGTTAAAAAAGTTAAGAGATCTTTTTACCACCTGGAATACATTGAAATGAGGCAACTTCAACAAAAGAATCTCAGTTTTCTTTTATCCTTGTTGCTGGATCCTGTACTCCCTGTACTCCAGCGATTTACACACTCCTGCTGGTACATACACTGTGTAGTTGCAAGTTGACTTTTTAGAGACATTTTGAGACAAAGCATACAATCTTATCCAGTCCAATATTTTAAGCCTGCACACTTACACAATCTGGGTAGGGACAATATAACCTGTTGACAGACAACCTATGGCCTGGAGCAGTACTTTGCTTAGTGAAACTATGACCACACCTACTTAAATAAGAGCAATGGTTCACTTGAATGACCGTTTCTCATACTTGGCACTTTACGTCTGTAAACTATTCTCATATGTAGCAGTACATGCTGCCACACATGACATTTGGCTTCTACTAAATATTTCAAGTAACAAGCATCAGATACAAATACAGATGAAAACATGGCCAGATTGGTAAAGAACTGTGTGAGGTAAAAATAACCAAAAGCATAAGATGATCAAGAAAGTAATACAGTAATTTATGATTTTGTATAGTTTCGCTAACTGTGATGTGAAGTTGTGGCAGCATGTTTATCAGCATGAACTAAGCATAAAGTGAAACAGAACCTAGATCAGCTTTTTCATCGGCCCCAGAACAACAAAGCCTTGTTTCCTAGAGATTTGTGTCCTCGGCATACTTAATACAGTGCAGTTCACTCTTCCTGTCCCCCAATACTTTCTGCTCTATTCTGCCAGTGTTCCCAGATGTCCTCCTTGTCCCAGACTACCATCTGAGCAAGCGGGAGCGTATTTTTTGCCTGGTTTTTAGGTAATACTTAAAATTATGTGTGCATTGCACCAGCAGCCAGCAGCTTAGACTAGGTAACTCCTGAGTAAAGGTTAAGGGCTCTGTCTCTTTCAACAGGAACAGAAATTCTTTTCACGGTTACTGGATTTCACAAAATTTACCAAATATATTATCATCTTTTAATGTCTAGTTTTAACTGGACTTGCTACAAAGCCAGCTCTCAGGTTCTTCAATTGTCATTGGGAAGGAAAACAATGGAAAAATGCCTGCTCACAATGTATTACCACAGAAAACTACTTTAAAATGCTGAGTTTACAACTGCAAGGGTACAAGTACTTGCCCTAAGAGTTCTGACTGTTCTCAGCTTGTAACAGAATAAAGTTAAGGTACAGTTTTAAAGAGGCATGGTTATAATCCATTTGATGACTATTTGTAGTTATTAACCTTATGGTCTCTATACCATAATCTGCAACTGCAGTTGCTAGTAACTGGATTTTATTATTCCCACATTTTAAAAGATAAGATCAAGATATGAAAGGCTAAAACCAAATGACCCTCTTGCTGCCGCTGGCATGGCTCACTCAGATCACAGTGAGGCAGGCTTGCTTAGGGATCTAAAAGTTTTAAGATACCTGCTGTTTGCATACTTACTGTTTACCTGCTCAGTAAATATGGATCATAGATATAGCTTAGCACTACATATTTAGGGATGAGCAATTGAAAAGAAAATTATGTTATATATTATGTCACAAATGTAGTCAGTATTACAGCTATAAATTTTACCCCTGAAATATATTCTGTCAAAAACACTGTCCATGCCTTGTAACATTTCCCTTTGGCAAGATAAAACTTGGATGAGCTCTACATTACTGGAATGGCTTCAAAACCAACTGCAGGCAGAAATTATTTATAAGTGTCTGTTATTCACAGCTAAAATAGTCTTCTGCTACACGGTGTTCTGACACAGCACAGTACTGGCGTACAGCTCTCCTCAACAGGACCATGACCTTCAAAATGACTGCACAGAACAATGCTATGCCTACTGTGAGCCAGTCACACAGAAGTGTTTGCCTTCCTGTAGTTTCATTGAAAGCTAAAAATAATACTTTACACAGAAGTACTCCCACTTAAAACAAGCAGGACTACTTGTAACCAACAATTCCAGCACATGGGTAGGGGCTGGGAAGGAAGGGCAGATATTAACTGATTGGTTACACAGTTGAACACCAGCGGTCTGGCGTAAAGCTTTAATATATATTTTACATCAGTGTAATTCCCCTAGAACATACATTTTCACAGGATAAAAATCTTACGTAATACCACAGTAAATTACAACATTGAAAGTTAACTGTTAATACTTCACCGAATTGAAAGATTTTTCTTTTTTTTTAGTAAAATAATTTAAGTGTCTCTTCTTAATAACAGGTTACACACCCTTTTCCCCATATTCAGATAAAAGGCCTGTCTCTTAGTCCTGGCTGGCTTTTAGTTCACCAACAGCTATTTTCTCACCTCATGTCCCTAACTCCTTTCTCCGACAGGTCATGTGGCTGGAGAGCTCTAGGGCAGTGCCTCAGCCCAGAGGAGCTGACCAGCCCCAGCTTTGTCAGAGCCAGACGGGTGCAGGAACCAGCCTCAACTCCTCCAGCCAATATTCACCAGGTTTTTCTGCTCTGCTGATGCATTTTAGCCTTGAACTGAAGAATGCCTGTTGTGCATTTGTAAGAGATACAGGGCTATTACTTAAGTGAGAAAAATGCGAGGATGATTTTTTTTTTAATAAATAAATGCTTATAGTATACAATCAGTGAACATCCCGTTGACTCTGGAACAAAAATACGTATAAAAACTTTAGCTATTAGATTTCCTTCTATTCATTGTTTCTGATTAACCAGAATGCACAATATAAAAACATTAATTTTCTCAGTTCAGGACAGATGTCCCAATTCAAGAGACGATATCCACTCAGAAAGTGATTAATGCCTATTAATTTCATGCCTTTATAACAAAGATAAATTCAATAATATATTTATATAATTTTCTGAAATAATCCATTCTCTGATCCTGCATTAATTTCTTAACAGTTGCAGGACACATCACCTTATATTGTAAATCTGGACTGCATACTGATAGACTGTGACAAGTCCTGTTTTCTTTCCAACAGCTATAAAAAGCCAAAGCAGGATGTCATTCCTGTTTTCATTTGCTAGCTGTTTTCTCACCCTTTTACATTCTATTTTTTGTTTCTTTTCCTGTTAGAAATTACCTCTCAAACCAACTTAATAATTTAACACTTACTTGCAAAAAGTGATCTAATTAAGGACTGAATCCTTGCTGAACATTCTGCAATGCAGGCAAGTACATGAACTGCAGTTTTGGAAACAGTTTTGTTTACTGTAAATGAAACTCAGGTTTTGTAAAAGAACTCCTGCTCAATATAACAACATTTCTAAATACTCAGCCCCTTGAGAAAAAAATGCAGCACTTGGAATATTTTTAATGGATTTACTAGTGAATATTTCACTCTCAGATATAGCGTAACCATGTCACAATTTTTTTCCCTCTACTCTTTCATTTCTTTACATATGTACATTACTTAAAACCACAGAGATTTATTGAAGTCATCTTCAAAAATACATTACCAGTTTTTTAAAACTGATCTTGCACTTTTTAGTGACAGCATCTACATAGTATCAATACAGAATTTAAAGTTATAAGTTTCAACAGAGTCACCTTCTCATATCCATGTTTGCAAACCACTTATTAAGGAGGGACAGTGTTACAAACAAATCCATCTGCTGTGATACCACTGCTCTCCACATTCATTACAAATAGCGTAAGTCAACATTTGTTCATCTGGATTCGTGTTTCGCACCCAACTTGGAAGAAAGAGAGTTCCTCTGGCGATCACAGTGACCGTGCAATCAAATTTTTCACAGCGCCTACACTTTATTTTGTTTGTCTGTGTGCCATTAATAACTTGTGGAAGCTGATGTTCCTGAACAGATGATTCTGTGTACAGAGCCCTGAGCTGTTTCAGTTCATCGCTGGCCATTTCCATCACTGTCATTTCAGCAAAAGCCTTTGGGCTCAAAGTCCCTGTAAAAAGGTTATGTTTCAAGTGGCAATTTTTAGGGTTCTTCAGGTTAGAGATTTTACTTCTGATGCAATTTTTATATTTTTTGTCATTTTTAGCATGAAGAGCAAAAATATGTTTTTCAATTTCTTTAGATAACTCTAGACATTTAACAGTTTCTTCTTCATCTTTGGCAGAACCAATCAAAGCTTTGTATAGAAGATCTGTACATTTACACCTAAGAGCTCTCATTAGGTCCTGCTGCAGACTTGCTTCATTAACAACAGATTTAGAATCTTCATTAACAGTGTGTTGCTCCTCAAAAGAAGAAAGCTGATTCATACTGCCTTCTGCATTGTTACATACCACATTTTTAACAGTTTGTGATGGGACCAAAATGTTGGAACTAGTACCACCTAATGCCTCCTGTTGACATGGTCCTTCAGACAGCAACTGCTCTCTAGGAACCACACCGCAACACTCAATTTCCTCTTTCACATACAGAGAAACTGACTGTTTAACTTGCATTGACTGAACACAGTTATTCTTGTAAAGTGCTTTCCACCTTGATAGTAACTGCTTTGCTTTCTTTTTCAACCGTCCGGAAGGGCAGCTCTTGAGTACTCTGTATACAGCCTTGGCAACTTCTGTCCCCTGAAGATATTCTACAGTCATATCAACATCTTCAAGTTCTTTAAGATGATCCTCAATATCTTGCAAATTGTTCTCAGACAGCAGTTTTTCAATACAATGGGTTCTGTGTACGATATTTTTCTGATCAGACATTTTTACACCTGAAAGCAAAAAAAAAATTATCATATTTACTGCATTTATGGCATTAATTCATCTTCTGTATATTCACACAAGGTTTTCTTTTTCATTTCATGCTATTTTACACTATTTTATTTGTGTACATTACTGGGTTTGCCACCATTTTCTTGAAATTGTTTACAGAAGAATTAATGAAGCAAATGCAAAATGCAGAGGAGCCCAGGTCCTGGAAAAATGCAAATGGGCAGGCTAGTCTAACTCATTCCAGAAAAATACTATCAGACAGGAGAGCCCAGAGGGACTTCTGCTGGGGTAGTCAAGTGACTACAAATGAACTCAGTACAAGGCGCAATGACACAGAATAATAGAAAAATCAAAGTGGGTCCAAAACCTTCACATTGTAAGGTGCTTTTTTTGGCTACTGTTTTTGGAGGATTGCAAGTTTAGTTGGTTTTTTTGTTTTGGTTTCATAAATTAGTCATTCCTGTAACCATATATTAAATTATTTTTTTTTCACAAATTCTCATAACAAATGCTGAGATGTTTGGCTATCTGTGGTTTTGTTTCAGCAAAATCTTCAAGTTTCCACTTGGTTTCTCATAAGAAATCCTTTAGATAAACTCAAATATATGGGATTTGGCATTAGAAGACTAACTTGGAATAGGGAGCAATGTGTATCATAGCTCCATTTTCCATACATTTATTTGGTTTTGCCAGTGTATGTTGTAGCCTGTGCAATGGAATTACTGGTAAGTGCAGAAAATAGACACATGCACTAAGAATGACCCAGAAAACATACAAAGTTAGAAAGTTTAAGAAAATTTGCACAGTCACATTGTTTTAGTTAAAATTTTAACTTCTACAGCAGACAGATGAGATACCTGTGAATTGTGATTTTTTCATTTCACGCTTTTTCCTCAAGCCTTTGTTACTTCAAAAGAATAAAATTAACCAGCTAATGAGGACTTGGCATCTGACCAAGAGTTACTGACCTAAATGAGTTTTTCAAGCACCTAATGGAGATGCCAGAGTTTTCAAGCCTTTGGAGTACGTTTTTGTCACCATAACTTGATATTAGGGATTTCTTCAATTAGTGAACAGCAAGTAGGTGAACACACTGTATTGGGAGCTGCAAAGTGAAGTTTTGGGGGTACTCTGCAGAAAGTCCAAGTGAACTGACATAAATCAGTGAAACTTAAGCCCAAAACACCATTCTGGTTCCTACATGATCCTCAACTTTTCACTTGCTATGCTATATCTCTTCTAAAAATTTCTCTTTATAGGTGTTATCAGAGAAAAAATTCAAACTTCTAACTGATGTCCCCACTGCTGCCTTTCTCTTGCTAGCTCTGCCTTCATATTACAGTTGGATTATCAGGATAGGGAAGCTTAGAAACACTGACACCAGCAAAACAGTTTCAAAACAATGACATCTACCAATTTGGAAAATTCTTAAAAATTCTTAAAACTTAAAGACACATCCCTCTATTTTCTTACAGCTGTAGCATTATTAAAGCATGCTCCCATATATTCCAGTGTGTAAAGGAAAACAAAATGGCATTTTCAGAATGCAAACGCCATTCTCATGGCTTGAATAAGATTTTCTTTTGATTCCTTTGCATCAACCCCTTTGACCAAAAAAATGCTCAGTGCATTGTTATTGTAAATTTACACACAAAAAAATGTTGATATTACTAATGTTATTCTTCTACTTGCTGAAAAGGAGAATTAAATGTAGAATGCAGAAATGGATGGTGTGTTAACGTTGTGTTCCTCTTTTCTGCAGTTAGTCCTCTAAATTTATGCACAAAATCAGTGTTTTGTCTGAAATTGCATACTTCCTGATTCTACTCCAGAAAAAGTCATCTGCCTGATGGAGGCAAGGCTAGTTACACACGTCCATATGTAAAGGAGCTCATAAGCAGGGTTCTTGCAGCATCACTGTTTCTATGATGAAAATTCCTGAGGACGGAGTTAGAGGAGGGACAAGTGATACATCTGCGGAATGTGCACGCTCTGTTGCTCTCTATGACCACCAGCCCAGATAATTCATTTTCTGCATGACAGAAATAAGTTCAAACTTCAGGTTTAAACTTCAGAGCCTCAGAACTCCACAAAAGAAAAGGACAGAGAGCATAAGACTTCACTTGTTTCTATAATCCTGAACCACAGACCAACCCAACCTCCACAGTGAATGCTCTGAACATTCACTTAACCTGTATTTGAACAGTGCATTCTTGTCTAACATTTTGAAGTCCTGGAAAAGGCCAGTAATGGCTATTACAGAAACTGATTTATTGCTCAGGAATTTTTAAAACCAGAGAAATAGGATGCAGTTTTCAAATACTTAAATTGAACCCTGTGCATCATCATACTGAAAAGCACATGTAAGTGCATCCTCTCCTCTGTTCTGCTGCAGGAACACACAGAGGCTGTCAGTGGAAAGAGGTGCTTTCTCATTTACAGCTGCCCTCACTAAGCAGGACAGTTTTCTGTCTCCAGAACACTAAGTACCTGACATTAGAAAATTATTATCTGCTGACTTACTGGTTTTCATGCAATCCGGGGCAGAGTTGGTGAGACAGTCTTATGTTTGACCAGTATGATTGTCCTATAACTTAGACTAGTCACATTTAAGTCAAAACAATCGCTTCTAAGGGAATGCTTCCCTCAACATGTACAACTTTATATGAGGTAGGACTGACTGACTCCCTTCAAACTTACTAACCAAACCTAGGTAAAAGTAACAGAAAAAGTAAGTAATCAGAAATACGACAAGATCAGAACAAAATCCATAATTAAATACTGCAATGGAGTGGGATATGCACTGGTAACTGGCAGAAGCACAAGAAACAGCCAGCAGAGAAACAACTGAATAAAGGTAAATAATCAATGACACCAGAGAGATTTCTGCAGGGAAAATATTCTTGGAATGGCCCTGGCTTTATGGTGTGTACCTAGTTTGCAAAAGATTTTAAGATCCTTCAAGATGAAAACCAATATACACTTCTGAAGTATGACACTAGCTATTAAAATATTACACTAACTAATAAATTTCATCTCTGTTTCCAAATTAAAAGGAACTGTGCTGAAAAAAAAAAAAAGTTGTCTGTGCATTTGTTGCCCTATAAATCAAGGAAGGACTGGACTTATCACCAAGGCTGAGACAGGCCATTGTTCATGCAATGAGAAATTAAACATAGACTCCTGAACTTATAAGGAACATATAAGGTAATCAAATGGTTGATCTTACCATTCAAAGGATGAAGCAAAGGTCTAGGAATTACTACTGGGAATCCTGTGTACCATTTCATGTTAAGTCTGAATCAAGCACCAATTTTGCTTTTCTAATCAAGGCACAACATGATTATGTTAAACAACTGTAGGAAAGATGTTTTTCACATTCTTATAGGGAGAAATAAGAAATCACTGAAGCTGTGGTAATACTGCAGTGTATTTTCTAGTGGGAACCCAAGTATAGCAAGAGTGAGTTCTTTCCCACTGAAACTCTTGTTCCTTGAACTCTGATGTTTCTGTTACAAATCAGATAGAACTAACAGTAAGTCGGGAGAAGCCTCAAAACCTTCTGAAGAGAAATCAAGTGTTTCACAGAAACCAAGCTGGAATTCCAAATGGAAAATTATTTTACCACCTGAGGGAGCTGTAGCATAGAAAACCCATGGAATCTTGTGAAATGTGCATAATGAGAAACTCCAGCCTGGGAAGAAAAAAATAAAACAATTTCCCTATGACCTTTAGGAGACTTCACATTTTTACAGTATCTATTTGCCAAAATTTGGCAAAAAACCCCTGTAGAATTCATAGGTGCTAGGATACAGACAGGAGGGAAAGGGTGCACCCCTTATCCAGCCATTGTCCTTTACATTGCTCTTTCATTTGACTTTTTTAAATTTAGAGTTTGACTGCTTTTCTACCTGATTTACTGCAATTTGACAAATGCTGCTGAGCAAATATTTATAAAATTAACTGAATTGTACTCTGTCAGCACTGTTCTGCTGTCTTCCTAATTCCAAGGGACAAAAAATCCAAGACCATTTTCTTTCCTCAGTTATGAAATGAATTATGTGTGTTTGTTAAGGTAAAGATGTAGCAAAGAACAAATGTGTCATAATTTTGTGCAGTACAACACAAACATTCTCACCTCTACCACAACTACACAAGGCATTTCACTTAAGCAATAGAATCACATAATCAGAGAATGGTTTGGGTTGGAAGGGACCTAAAGGTCATCTAGTTTGAAGCCCCCTGCCATGGGCAGGGATGCTATTTACTAGATCATGTTGCTCAGAGCCCCATCCTGGCCTTGGACACTCCCCGGGATGGGGCATCCACTTCTTCTCTGGGCAACCTGTTCCAGTGCCTCACCACCCTCTGAGTAAAGACTGTTGCCGTCACTCCATCACAGAAGGCCACCAGACTGGTCAGGCATGACTTGCCATTAGTAAAACCGTGCTGGCTACCTTGAATTACCTCCTTGTCTTTTATGTCCCTTAGCATATCTTCTGGGAGGATCTTCACAGGAACAGAGGTGAGGTTCACTGGTCTGTAGTTCCCTGGATCTTTCTTTCTTCCCTTTTTAAAAATGGGAGTGATGTTTCCCTTTTTCCAGTCACCAGGGCTGACCACTGTGGCTTTCCAAATATGCATGAGAACATTTGTTTAAATTCCAAGAGTATATTGAAGGTTACAAGGTAGAGATTGGCTCATATTTACAATAAGACTCTGTAATGCTGTGCTGGTGAAGCACTTTCTTGCCAAATCATTAAGAGTCTTCACTCTGACTGCACAGCATAATGAGTCACTTGTGTGTACAAGAATAAATGATGACAATCAATAAAAATCTTCTAAGTCAGTTTGCTCCCAAAAACAAACAAACAAAAGATTAGGCTACCTCAGGTTTAAAATATGGCCATCCTGTAATAATGCCAAGTTGAATCAGAACATTTTTAAACAGTATAATGACTAAATAGGAGAAAACAAAAAACCAAACAAAAAAAACCCCAGCCTGAGACACTTGCTGCTAAATGCAAAGTCAGTCCCTGGCAAAAACACTGGCCTCTACAAAATCATTTGGAGTAAATGCCTTGTCTTTGCTATACACCTTATCTGGTGAAAAGCCATAGCCTATTTTGTCTTAGCACAGATAACCTGAAAAACCAAGACAAACTCAGAGTGCATCCAAGCAAAAAGGTATGAATGTCTTGGAATGGTGAACACCAGTTCTCCCTCATCCCAACCTCAGAAGAAAATCCAAACCACAGCCAATATGAGGATCAGAAGTCAAGTACTCCTAATGGCATAATAAATTTTCTGAAAAATATGTGGTTTATGCTATAGCAGAGATGATGCATAGGACAGTCCTGGAAACACCAGCTTACTTTGAGCAACCTAAATTCCATATAAACAATAAAATTTTAAAATGTTATTTTAAACTCAAGAGTCTAAGCAGAAATCAGAGAATTCTCACAGCCAGCTTCCAGACCCAAAAACAGTCCTTCATCCTATCTGCAGTGGGAGAGCAGATTCCAAAGATGTCACCAAGAAACCATTTACTGGGGCTTTTATTTTATCTTGGCAAAAATCAGAGCTCTTCCTGCCTCTCAGCAGGACTGCCTCCCACCTCTAAAAATTCTGAACTAGACAGAAAATCATCTTCAAAGAATAGCCACATGAATAAAGCTAAGTTAATACAATAAGAAGTGAGGCAACACAACAGCATAATTGCCAGCTGTCTGTGGCTGCAGACACCTCACTGACCAAGAGAGTCACCTCTCGGTCACAGAACCAGAGGCAGCCGAGTGCACAGCACTACTAAGGAGAAATAGCTTTGTTCTGTATCATTTACATCAGTGACTGCTTCAACTACAGTGCTCTTAACTAATCTGGAGCTGTACTGTCTCTGTCCCGTGTTTCTCTCACAGAAATCACTCTTTCACAGCTTTCTTCCTAAAACAGGGAGTTTGCAGGGGAGAAATGGCACAGTGCATCACATTCATGTGAAGAGGTACACAGTAGCCTCCTTTAGAAGGCAAATTTTTAATCCTGGAGTTGCTTCTCCCAGAACCCCCATTTTTAATTAAAATAGAATTCTTATTTTCTTTAAAAAAAAAAGGAAAAAGATAAAACAATCAATAGAGTGCATAATGAAATTCTCAAGCCTCAGGGATCAATTCCAAACTAGAGCTGTCAGCACATTTTTCTAATAAGATCAAACAAACATACATGGATTTAATGAGATAGGAAAAGCTCTTGTCCTTACCAGACTGCTTAGCCACTGGCTTCGTTTGACATCAGCCAGAGCTCAGGAAAAGGCTCAAAATATTACAGCTACACCAGAGGAATAACACCCTCGCTTGTTTCACAGCAGAAATTACTAGATGAGGAAAATTCTTTACAAACTGAACAGCTGCAGCTGTTTTGAGTTCTAGGACATTCAGCTGATGTTAGAGTGGACGCACACATCCCAGCAGAGACTTTACCTTGCTAATGGCTTCTTTTAATAACTTAGTTTAGAATGAAATCAAGTTTCCCTTGAAGATATTTTAGCTTTTCACATATTCTATCTGCCTTAACCATGTGAATTCTTCTACTGAATTAAGTAGGTAACTAGATGAAACCCTGAAAATGTTAAAAGTAATGCATTATTCCTCTGATATCTTTATTTCTATTGATATGGTTGATCTTTTTAATAAAATACTTTTAAGGAGTTAAAAATTACTAAATTTACTTTTAACAAGTTACAGATTACAAGTATCAAGTGGAGTTATTAGCTAATCTCTTCCACAACAGGACAGCTATACATACTCACAATTCAATCTAATACATTATGACTCAGTATGGCAATAGTAAAATGTAAATAGAGTTCTGAGAGATTTTTCATCAACAGTTTCATTGGAAATTATGTATAAATAATGTGTGTTTCTATTTGCTTTAAAATTTGCACCATTTCACATGAAGAAACACTTGCATAGTTTCTCTAATCTACAACCAGATCATTTTTCAGTATTTACTAACTTTATTCTACATCCCATTTCCTAGTTTGGGCACAAGGCCACAGAAATGTTCCATTGGGTTATCTGGTTTTTCAAATTTTCATGACAAAGACTTATCACAGCTGGCAGAGAAATCCCTTTTCTCTCAGCCTCTTTCTAATGCTTGTCAGTATGAGGTACTAGCTGGGGCTTCAAGCAGGTCAAAAGTCAGGCTTTTGACACACAGGGTACATTTTCTAAACGTGAACTTCCACTGTGGCTACAAGTGACAAATACACATCAGAAAAGAAGAGTGTTGAATGAAACTAAAGTAGATGACTCAGACATGAATTAATGTTACCTAGCTATGGTAAAGACACAGATTGTGACAGATGTATTTTGCACTAATTAAGCTGACCTGCTACAGTGCAGTTTATCACAGGATTCAGGCTTTTTGTGCGGCTGCACACAATTTTTCAAAAATTATATAATAATTTTTGTGATTATAAATTAACAGAGTCTTCTGCAAACTAAAGAGTACAGCTTATCATCTGCACCAAAACCCCAAGTTTGTTAGAAATACATCTAGCATTTTCCCAACATGCCTCTATCATGAAGGCAAAACTTAAGCTGGGACAAGCAAAAAATGACAATATCACTCCTGTAGCATCACTTGCCTCAGTACCCAACCAAAACTTCACTGTGTTAAAAATTATTTTTGCACTTTGTGAAATAATTGCTTCATTTCCTAACATTCATGTTTTTACAACAGTAACAGATTTTAAAAGAAAAAATAATTATTATTGTTAAATCCAACAGACCATATGAACAATATTTCACTATTTTCCCACAGCAAGAGGATGCTATAAACATTCTTCCTCACTCAAGAAACCTACCTGGCAATAGAAATATAATCTAAGCAGCTCTGTGTCATTGTTTACTAATTAACTACTTTTATTCAATATAGCTTAGTCTCCTAAACTGTTCATCTGGATGGATGCAAATGTTCATATCCATATTTCACAGAATCTCAGAATATGTTGAGTTGGAAGGGACTCACAAGGATCACCCAGTACAACCCTTAGCCCTGCACAGGAACATCCCCAAGACTCACATCATGTGCCCAAGAGTACTGTCCAACTGCTTCCTGAACTCTGTCAGGCTTGCTGCTGTGACCACTTCCCAGGGGAGCCTGTTCCAGTGCCCAACCACCCTCTGGGTGAAGAACCTTTCTCTAATATCCAACCTAAATCTCCCCTGACACAACTTCAGGTTATTCCCTCGTGTCCTGTCACTGGTCACCAGAGAGAGGAGATCAGTGCCTGCCCTTCCTCTGCCCCTCCTAAGGAAGTTGTAGACTGCAATGAGGTCTCCCCTCAATCTCCTCCAGGCAAACCAGCCAAAGAATTTCAGGAAGGCTGTGACATCTTCAAAGTGGAAACTGGTTTCTTCAACATATATTAACCATATTGCCTTATACAGGTAACAGTTCATGAAGTGTGTGCGTGCTCTCTCTGCCTCTGAACACCACTGGGATTGTATCAGACATCTGGTCTGCTCCCTGTACTCAATGTCTGCGCAAAAGAAGCATTCATAACAATGTCCTCCAAACACTGGGAAATCATAATTCAGAATTCCCAATTCACTGAGATTGTTCTGTCGTAACTGTAGGAGACAGATAATTCTTTCCCTATTTATCCACAACGATGTTACCTCTCATGTTCATGCTTGGTATTAGAGTTTAGATATTTCTCCACTATTTTGTATCTTCCTCTGGAATTTCTTGTTTGGTTAGAATTAATACCATTAATTTTTTAAACCTACCGAAGAGAAGAACATGTTGTGAAGTGCAGGTCTAACACTGGCTTTTAAGTGGTAGTGTGTCCACCTATTTTTCAGTCCTCAGAAATATTGCTTATATCCTCTTGCAGATGTCCAGGTTGTCTGAAACCTGGACAACCTCAACCTAAATGAAGCTTTCCTAAGGTGGATCTCACATCCTCCTTTCAGTGAGCTTTTGCATTGGCACAAAAGTCCAACAAAACAGATTGGCTTGAACTTAGGAGTCGAAATAAACAAGTAAAAATGTACTTAAGACATACCTATCCAAAGTGTATTTGTTCACTTAATACATTAGAAAGAAAATATGAATGATTTTGGAGAGGAACAAGCAATTCTTTCTCTTGAATACCTTTCCTTGACAAAATAGCTTTAAAGATTATTTTTATATAGAGCTAGCAAGGACTTCAATTTTAGCACACTACGAGCAAAAGTAAATGTTCAGTCTCCAATATCTTTTTATGGATAACTGTGCTGACAAATTCATATAAAAATGGAACATGTAAATAATAAAAACATGCTTTATGAACTTCTGTGAGCTTTTCGTCATTTTTCAGATGAACACAGACACTTTATTGCTTCCATGTTCATTTTTTTAGTTAAGCATCAGCTCTATACTATTTCTATTTGTCATTCCATTGCCAGGGCCATACTTAGATTAGATATCACTTTATCGTTCTTTTACAGGATTTCCACTGAAAATTTATATAACTTTTTTCCTTCAAAAACAAATGCTTTGTATGCAGAAGAGAACCTATGTTCCTGACCCCTCTACAGAGATAGTGTGCGATATAATCAAAAGGTATTTGTAAGATATTATTAGTGTCCG